GATTAAGGAGGCATGCCAGGAACAGGGTAGCTGAATTTGGCGACAACCCTTGATGGTGCGGCGCAGTGGAAAGATTTGGTCTGTTCACGAGTGCCTTATTTAAAGGACTGCTTCGTCTACTCGCACATTCTTTTCAACTGTCAGTCGCAGCCGCTCCAGAATGACCATCTAAATATCTTCTCCTCGGTCGACAGCAGTATAATCCCCGCATAGATCCAGCAACAAGTGTTGTATCGGATGTTGTATCTTTATGGATCAGGATTATGATTCTAATCTTACGTAATTTCTTTTCCGTTTACATTCGGTTAAAAGAGTTTCTGGACCTTCAGCAGCATGCCGTCATTCGCGAATTTGATCAGCTCTGTATCCCATCTGCACCGCAGGGCTTTGTTCAATGCTAAATGGCTCAAGGTTCATCCATGGTGCAGGGAGGGGCGGTCAGAAGGTATGTTCAGTGACGTTTGGCCACTGCTAACGTTCAGTAGATCTTCTGAACTGCTAGAGTTCAACAAGTTTTAAAGATGTCCAGCCCATTGTTTCCGGCAAATATTTTGATCTGCCAAAGGTATATCCTGTGCATCGCTGACCAGTCCAATGCGAGGCGAACCTGGCACTGATGCTTCTCCCAGTGTTCAAAAAACAGAGCACCAGTTGCCTCTGCTTTCTGCGACACTAGATTCTGAAATTAACTACGCCTGCTGGTCTTGCTTTGGCAGTAGCTCTTATTCACTTCATTGACAAGACGTCAGTGAAACCTTTTCGAGTCAAGGGTTCGAAATTACAGCACTAGGGCCTTGCCGATTTCAGCTTCTCCACACAAAAAAACCTCACGCTGTTTTGTCACATCACATCATAGTTTCGTGGTCATCCATTTTAGTGGCTTGCAGGTTTTATTTTCTTCTACTAATATCCATGGTTAATTTCCATAAGTGAGCTTATATTTATTCTTATGCCTTAGGCACAGGTATGGTGTGGCTTACGGGTCAATCCGCTGAGTACTTATCCGCTAATAGCTCTGATCGTTCTATCCACTTTTACACTTACATACGATTCCAGTAATTATTCTTTCTCTTAACTTATGAATTTCCGTGGGCAGAGCGACACACATCAGTCAAAAGTTCTAGCGCAGTTTTCGTCAAATCGGTGACGGGTTGGGAAATCGGTGAATGACCTGAGAAAAATTTGAAAGAACCACGTTGGTTGACCGTTTCGTAGTTTACAGCGATCTTTGCGATAACTGCAGTGGTTAGAAGGAATACTTTCCGGTGTACTTCTTATTCAACGACGCTCAGAGATGAGGTGAGAGACATCTGTCCCGCTCTTGTGTTTTCCTTTCTCATGATAGAAGCGAAACACTTTTTTTGTGATTTCGAAGCAGCCTGTACTTTCAGGGATTTTCAGCAAGCAAGATTTAGGAGTTGCCACTGCTGCAATCAAACCGTGCTATTCTCCATGCTGGCAAAGTACCATTTTGGAAAACGAGCGTTTCCGGGCTGTGCCGTTTGCATTTCTTCTATTTGCCGCTTGAGGTTTTCGTCCTCCACCACTTATTAAACCTTGCTCCACTGATTCATTCACTAAGTCCAAAAGTTAACGTCCTGTTCAATTTATTTGTTACAGTTTCTGCACGCTCTTGGAGATCATTAATTAGTACATCACAATGCACAGCGAACAGAAACAGCGTCTCAGCACTGAGCTTTGATCGATCCGTACCCACATAAGGAATTCTTATTTAGACCAAATGTAGTTCGAACTATCTGTGTTACTCATTCGTACATAATCTGGGTGAACCTAATATATTCCTTTTGTACCACCACCTTTCTTATACCCAATACCCCACCAAATCGTCGGCATTAGTATTCCATCTTAAGCCTTTTCCACGTGGGCGTCCCTGCCGTTTTCTTTACTTTTGAATAAATGATCTTACTGTAAAATGGCGAATGTCGTTTACCATAAGACAATAAGCCTAACAGGTCTTTGTGGATGTCAACTTCGTTTCTCAATCTATAATTTTCCAGTACCCTTTCCTATAATTTCCCAGTACAGCTCTATTCGCAGGCCTTCATGTCTCGCTACATTGTATATACAGATATAAAATACGTCTCTTCTATGTTCTGAACACAATTTAGTTCCATGTATCTATTAAACAATAAACCGAGCTAAATAATACCATCGTGCCTTCTTCACTTCTGTAGTGTCTCCATCTAGACTGAGGATCATTCTATTTTTCAGGTGACCTAAGACTTCGCTTACTTAATCTGGTGAGATTATCTAGTCCTTCATGCAATTACATTTGTTCGCCATTGGTTGCAAGTCATTTCTTTATCAAATAATTTCTGCTTTATCTTGAGCTATATCTCTTGATCCTCTTCCTCGAGTTTTCGTTATACGAAAAAGTTCTTTTGTTCCTTCGCCTCCAGTTTGTCTTGCATAAGCTTTTGCATTCAGTACTTTCGTTCTCGCTGCGACAAATTTCTTATTCCGCTTATATCTAAGTTGTCTCGACTATCTCCTTAAACTTCTGTTATCTTATTCATTCGTTCATACGTTAATTTTCTGTCAGAGGGTAAATGCCAAGATGATAAGTTCTGACATTTTCTGATCCAGGATAAGTACAAAAAATGCACCAAATCCTTCAAAGTAAGAACTCAGTCCGTTGATGCAGCTATACATAAGGCCATACATTAAACATTCCTGCTGAACATGAGAATCTAATCCAAATCAACCCGAGGTCGCGCAGGCGTCGAAAGAAAGAAAAAGAAGAAGAACATGAAAGGTGATGCCAGATCCTCAGGGCACATACACAGAACTACTTTTTTCCAGGACGTTTTTTAGCCAGGAACATCTCATTCTTTTCCTATAAACAATCAGACGTTACTGAACAGTTTCACGGATCATGACAGACATTAAGGGCTATCGTAGAACGTGGAAAAACACACGTCGGTTTCTTACCGTAACATATGATCCATACTTTACTCACTGACCGTTTTCTACAGCTGAGTTCAGCGACTAGCATCATAGGGCACATATTCGAATCTTTTTGCTCCCAAATCACTGATCCCTGCAGTTCTCTATGGCATAGTCTGTTGTCATGTAACGGAGTTTGTTCTGCTGTGTTCTGCACTTGCACATTTTCACAAATCTTAACAACAATATTATGGAAAGAATTTCATTCTACACTTTCTGTCGTCAAGCACTTAAAGATATCATATGACTATCTCATTAGAGGTATAAAACTGTTATGACTGCACGTAATCATCTAATACTGAAAAGCCATACGAGCTTAGAAGGGATTCAAAAAATTATACAGTTATGCATCAGAAATGGGGTCATCTAAAAGAAAACCAGTGTTCAAGTTGAACTTACTAGAGGCTAAAAAAATGGAACCATCGATGATTTTCATTTCTAAATGTACCAAGACACCGACTGTATGTGATAAAAGAAATAACGTTGTATATTGCTTATTTCTGAGATCATGAAAAGTTAATAATGCCTGAACAATGGAGTGGGTCTATAGGGAGTGGGTTTATATTTGACTATTAAAAATTGTGCATCAAGTCAATAGTATGAACTGTTCACTGCTCAACAAGGTCAAGAAGTGTTTCATTAAGGAAGTCATAAAAATCCTGCTTCAATGAGTTGTTTTTGTATTGTTTTTTCGTCAAACGGATCTGCTTGCGTGGAATATATAAGTGTGGCATACTTAACGCGGTAGGGAAAATGCTGGACGTAGATAAGTTCTAGGTCTTTGGTCGGCAGTCTCAGTCAACAAAGACCTTTACGTAACAACAGTTTAACATTTCGACTGAAATGGCATCCGTCATCGTCCCGCAATCAAGCAACAGGTCAAGAAATACCTTAAGTCGGCTGTCCTTTGACCGGATTAAAAAAAGGTTCCTTCACTGCTTAACAGGCAATTAATTAATTTCCATGCCATAAAAATCCTCAAAGGTTTCAACGCAATCGTTGCATGACCTGTTTCTGGGCTTCAACGTGAATCGACTTCTTGATTATGCGCTTCACTTTTAGGTTTTAAATCGATTAGCTGTTATCGCTATGAATATAAGTATGGCAGTCCATCTGAAATGGGATCAGCATTGCGAGTTCAAGTGACTTTTCCGTGTACAATTGTTCTAGCTTGAACTCCACCTGCCATGCCGTTGTGAAAGCAGCGCAGTCATTACACGCAATTTGATACATTAACTTTCTGCTGTCCAGGCTTGGAAAAGAATCAAGGCTAAAAAACAAGTTTCCTAAGGTTTTGCTCCTGTAAAAGAATATGCTTATGCCGTAGCTGTTTTCAAACTTAGAATTTTCTCCGTAATGTCCGGAATGTAAAATATGGAAGCAGGAGGACACATATTTAAACTTGGGACGTTAAGATATCTGGTACATCCGCTTTGAAAAAATACTGATTCAGGAAATTTGGATCGGAAAGGCATCTACATAGTAGCACAAGGCCTGTTGGCGCACTGATTTCATGACACCACTAGAAACCGGTTTCAGAGTTACAGAAAAAGTGTGAAAACTACAGCCAGAGTGCTTTCATATTTTATAAATATGTCTGATTGTATAATGTTAAATACCAACCGATCTTCCATAGTTCCAAGCACATTATAATGATAATGAATGACGCCCATTTGGCTGCAACATACGATAATTAATATTTTAACGCTACTAATCATGGGCTCAGAAGAGGTATCCGCTTTCGATTATCGATAACAAGACACTGGCAGGGTTTTAAGAAGTCATATATCCAGATTCGTTACTGAACATTTCTTTGACTTTAAAATTTTCGGACTGTCTCAACTGTATATTGACAATTGATTTTCTTGTTTTAGGAAAGACCGATGATGATGGAAGGCGGATATGGCCGTCGACGGGGCTGTTTACATGGCGAAGACTATGTTGTCACCGAATCAGGCAGACGACGTATAGATGATCTGGCGATTCATGATCGCCAAGCAAAGGTGCTATCGAGAAACGACAACGGAGAATTGCAGTTCTCGCAGATCGCTTTTTGGATCCACAGCAAACCGAACGACTCAGTTGACTACTTTGAGGTGGAGACGGAACACGGTCAACGCATATCGCTTACGAGAGAACATCTGATCTACAGAACAAATTGCATCAGTGAACGGCAAAGGAGCATAACAGCTGAGCATCTGCAGGTCGGAGACTGTGTCTTCGTGATTCAGGACGAAGAACTGACGCAGACGCGAGTGAAAGTGATCACCATCAAGAATAAGGTCGGCATTTATTCACCGGTAACAGAGACGGGCAGCATAATAGTTAACGACGTCCTCGCCTCCTGTTACACGACCATTGAGAACGAATCAATTCAAAAACTACTTTTCAAGTACGCCATAGTACTTAACAAAATCATCAGGATGCTACTGCCACGTTCGATTTACGAACTGATCTTTGTACCGGAAGAAGGTTCCGTACCACCTGCCATTATCAGCGCATTCAGCATCAGAAAGTTAATTCTTAGTTAGTTACCTGCACAGCATATTAGAAACTGGTCAAAGCGAAGCATGAAGAAAGATAGAGCGAAAAAGGAAGAAGAAAAGATTGTGTGCGCATTGAATTAGCTCATCTAATTTTTAATAGTTTTTAACTTTAATTATATTCGCAAAGTACAACACCGGGCAAGTTCCTTGGAGCAACTATGCATTGTTATTCGTTTGTAGGGAGATTAATCCGTAAGTCCTGTTGTACGTACCTGTTGTGAAATAGGTATGATTGGCGTTCGGTTCAATAAGCATAGAAAAGTGGCCAAGCTCAGCTGATCACCAGCTATTTCAGCGACATTGCCTAAATCGTTTCGCCACTTGATATGAAACAGCGTTGTCTAAATGGTTCTTCATTAATGCACAATTTAAACCTCATAAAAGGTAAATTCAAAAAGCCAGTCAGTGTTTTTATTTTTAAACAAAAATATGTAAAACCTTGTTGTAACTACGGAGTACTGTAAAACTTGGAAAGGCTGTAACAGGTAGCCAACAGTCATTCAAAAAAAGTATCAATCAGGCATATGATAAACCGTGTTTACATTGGATTAGTTGAATGAAATTTCGATCAGTAAAATTCTCCAACTATATTATATACACATCTTACATATACTGTCGTTGCATCGTCCGATAAAGGAAAAACTTATGCATGAATCAATAAACTGGATATTGTCCATGTCACAGTAGAGTGATGAGACTAGTTGTAAACTGAAACACGCGATATATTATTAACGGGAAATTTCCTGCCATTTTGAATGATACGGTGTGGTGATATTACTATATTACCAGTGCTTTAACTGCGAATCACCTCTGCGCAAAATTTAAAAAATATCTTATGTTCATCACTCATTCCTGCCTTAAAGCACTGTTTTCGTTCCAATCAGAAATGGTTTCTGTGCTCACATATTTTCGAAAACGGCGCAAGTACAGAGGTTAATTATTAAGTTACACCTAATACAAAGTCATATGAGATGCTAGGTCGAATCTCACCTAAAAACTCATCGTGATACAAAGGCACAATTTTGGCGAGGTTACAATTTTGTCCTTCATAAATTAGATAGTAAATAGCACCATTATGGGTGGCTGAAGCCTGAAAATGCACAAAATTCTGACACTGATTACATAAGTATGCAAATGAACAAATTAGCAAGTAACAAGCAAGTAGACACATAAGTAGTTGTGTGTCATGAAGATCTTCGTACTGTTAAAAGTATTTGCTGAAATCTAACTCCTGCATCAGCATTTACATTACTTGCTAAAATTAAATTCAGCTGCTCTCATAGTTAAAATGTATAAATCCATCAAACAGCCTTTTACAGAAATATGAAACTGCTCGTTGCTCCAAAATATAGGAAACCACATATTTTGATCACGGCTTCATGGCATTTTAGCAATTCATATCTTCAGGTCGTGACGTAGGCAATTTGGTTTATTTTGAACCACGTATTGTCTTAGTTCCAGGGTAATAAATTATTAAAACATATTCAGGCATGTATTTTGCTAAAAACGAAGCGCAGTGACGCAATGGAGAAGAGAGCAACTTGGAACTCGGGTGCGGGTTTCGAATTTTCAGAAAGAATGACTTTTATCTTAACCGTAAAATCCCTTGAGCAAGAAAAATTTACTCCGCGTTGCTTATGTGCTACCGATTGGAAACGGGTAGTAAGTAAATCAGGACAGCACAGCGCCCTGATCTGTTCATGCCAGAATGGATGAGGTGGACGTCTATACTGCCCAATGCAAGCATCCTTTGTGACTGCATTTTGCCTTGCCCCAACAGATGGCTGATTATACAGGGTAATAATCAACATAATGTGCAACTCCGATGATACAAGAATAAATAGAAGAACACTTCAAGGAAAGCCAGATATAAACGTAACGATGGAGAAAGTCACAGAATTCTTTTAATTTGACTCATTTCATTTAATTGGAGTTATTCTTCAGCCGGCTACGTTGGTGTAATTAAGCGAATAACGCTCACGCTATTTGCGGACGACGGCACTGTCTTCACATAAAACATGATGCAATTCTAAATGAACATAGAACAGATGCAAAAACAATCTATTACGATCGGATTCGAGCTCAACATCACTAAATCCAAACGGATACGAAACGCACTACCTTGAGAGATCAATCTAAGCAAATAGTGAAGAACTCGAAGAAATCAGGTCGACTGCTTCAAACTCACTAAACGAGAAAATCAGCAGAAGAAGGAAGGCGGCACAGTCAGCATAATTCATTATTCGAGAGTGAATGGGTGACGAAAGAACTTTTCGATTCAGCCGTACTGATCGCAATAATCTACGTGCTGAATGTTGGCCAGCTACTAAAACCGATGAGGACTGAGAGTTAAGAAGGAAGCGATGAAGCGACAAATGTGTAAGGTGTCCCACGGAAGTCACGTTCCGAGCATACAAACTAGAAAACAATTTATTAAAAGACGTGATTTCGACCTTCTACACCACCAACAAGATTTATCTGGCATGTGGTTCGCCTGAAAAGCAACCGATGGACATCAAAAATTAGAAACTTTGTTCTGCAGCATCACCAACGTCGAATCGGTCTTCGAACAACACGCTGGGATGATCTAACGGTATAATTCCTTGTGCAACAATGAAGGCAGAAAGCAGAAGCTAGAGATTGTTTGAGAAGCATCAAACTGCGTTCATGGCGCACCCATAACGAAAATAAGTCAAACAGTAGATGACCTAGTAAAAATTACAGTTTCACTACTTTCAATGTTTCAACCGTATAACAACGGTAATTTTAAAAAAAAAAACCAGACGTTGTTTCACATACAGTACAACAGGATACTTATCTACAGGTTCTGCGAGATGGAGTGCTTTCAGTGATAGTGATCCAATGGTTCGTTTTACTGTACATCAATATTTTTGTCAATATATAGTAAGCTTTAGCACCAAATAAGGGATTCTTTCTACGTTAAAAAAATATTGAAGGCAGAACTTTTCTCTGTTTCATGACACAGTCATACAGACTAAACCTCATATGCCAAACGTCAGCTTATTGCAAGTCAGTCTTCTTGAATTTTGCTTTTTGCCAAAGTAACGTCAATTTATTAATTTATGATGTAAGGTAATATGGCCATTAAGTAGACTTTTGATGGCTTCGAAATGGAAAACAAAATATTCAATCATTTTCCTGAAATTGGAATGTAACGGAACTGACGCAGAGCCACTACCGAGTCTGTCGAAGAGCATTACAGTCATTTAACTCCACTAAAGAAATGACCGTATGCTTAGTAAGTATTTACATGATTGCGCAGATTTACATATTGCATATTTACATGATTCCCAAATTTTCGCAACTGTTCACAGCTCCCTGGTTGCTACTTGGCATCTCTTTTGCATTTGATGAGACTCAAATATTGTCGATTTAGTTTTAAACTCAAGAAAATCAGGCATTAATTCACAGTTCTCTCTTCGGACCAGTAAAAATGCCGCAGTATTGTCTCTATCTATGACGTGCTGCCTTGACGAATGATTGAATGATGATACAGGAAGATAATGCAGATAAGATAATACAGGAAGATAGTTTAAGACTTGATATGATGCAACCAACAATTTAACCGTGCTGACGGATCTTCTTCAGGCCTAAGTTCACAGTGTTCATTTAGCTTTGATCATGTTATCTGCAGTAGATGAATTGTTTCGAGCCACAAGGCCTACTACAAGCGGATGGGCAAAATACTTCTTTACGACATAACACTAAAATTTTGTACTGCAACGAAGAGGTCCTATAAATGCCGTATTACATTACAATGATATTATACACATTCAGTATCGACGTTACCTCATAGAAGTATATACGCTCCACATGGTACTAGTTTAATCGGATTGCACCTTTTTTGTTGCTCATTGCAATTCATTGTTCCCGTACGTACTTTTTAATATTATGGATTTTGACACTGAAGAAAAGAAATTCAAAGAATATTCATTCGATGTTCAAAGGCTTTGAAACCGTCAAGTGTTCTCCGTCCTGGGTTACGTTGTTAAAATAAATGTTAAACCTTTTGATTTTGGCTCGAGGCCATTGAACAAGCGTAGCAGAAACGTTCATAGTGGTCGCTTTAAAGGCATTTGGCCGTAGCAGAAATCAGAGAAGCACGTTCAGTATGCAAAGGATATATGTTTGTATTTCAATCACTTATTCCGTTGGCGGAATAAGCAAAATGAAAGAGTTGTGTCAGAGTCTTGACATCTCATTGAATTGAAGGAATTGAAGGAATTGAAACGTAAGACAATAAGTTAGGGTTGATGGCATTCGAAACAGATCACTATGAGATTAGCGTTTGTCCAGAACAGGTTTTATATAGCATCAATTACTAACTGTTCTTTGAATGACAAGAGTGATTAAACTTCTCATAGTTCATTTTGAATTGTCATTGTTTGACATTCAACTCCATAAAACTTTAGTCCATCAGTGATGCAAAATAGTTATCTGCCGGTGCATTCGAGATAGCTACGCAGACAATCATAAATAACTTTTTGGAAAAAAATTCGAAACAAATGAGTCCCACGAATCGTGGAAAAACTCGAAACTGAACTCTTGTTATAGCACATATGAACGAAACTTCTGCAATTCTTAAGCTAACGTTAATGGTGTCAACGATGAAAAGTATTAAATCTTTTTCCAACTCCTTTGCCAGTAGTAAGAACGGTGTTAATGGTAACTTTAACAAAGAATCGTTCGTGATCATCATCCGTTATGAAATCTAAAGAAGATGCTGGTGATCGGAACAGGTAAACCATAAGCCCATTTTTCACTTTATAGTAAATAATGATGAGGCTGAAAGATCGGCATATCAAATGCGGAGCCACTTAATCGAAAATTCCACAAAATGTACCATCACTGGCTGCTTAAATGATTTATCCTGTATTTATGACGGAAGGAATGGCCAATATGACATTTGAATCACGTTCATTTTAACAAGATCAGCGGCAAAGAACTGAACATGTTTCTTTTCACACGATAAAAATTTAGATAATGACTTACTATGCAGCTTTCGATGTAGCTATTCTGCACGTGTATTGCAAAAGCATTCATGCTTTTACACTGTGCACTTTCGCCGTTTCAATCCAGTATCATCGCTGTTTTAATGTGGTATCTTCACCATCGATATCGAACAATCTCCAAGAACAACGAGGTCAAATTTTGACATTCACTGGCTTACGAATCATGGCAATCACGGCTGAGTATGGTTTTGTTCAACTCTAGTTTAAGACGCGGTCCTGAGTCCTATGCACTGCAGATACTAAAGTGTCATGGACCCGTAGCCTGCTTAAACGGACCCCTTTAAGCTTCTGGAAGCAAGGGAACGGTGCAATTTTACTGAAGTTGCAAAGTGAGAAATAGAATTTGCTTTCTTTACACCGTGCATTTTCGCCATTTAAATCCGGCATAATTTTTTAAATGTGGTTGCATCAACCTTTCGGCTGTGTCGAGAGGTCCCTTGAACATCGGGGTTATATTTTTCCATTCATAATTTTATTACGGATTGTTTTTGCCGTTTATGCGCTGCTTTCGAATTGCTTTTTAATCTAAAACGTCTAGAGTGCCAACAGACTTTAATAATGATTCGAAACAGTAGTAAAATGCCGTAATGCAATTAAAAAACGGAAGTGAGATTGATATATATCCTAAGGTAAAAGCAAATGCATAGACATTGCAGTCATTCTGGTATAATCCGTAATTCTCACTACTGTAGTGGCATGTGCAAAGTACTATATCGATAGCAACGATCATAAAGTACAAAGTGATGCGAATTAAAGTCAGTCGTTCAAGCTGCGCCTTATGTGTTCCCATATGTTGTCGATCTCAGGTTCCATGCCCCTAGAACAACGGTAGGTATGGCACCT